TTTGATGCTCCCTGTCATTCAATATTTAGCCCACAGAATCTTTCAATATTGCAACTTGAGGCTTGAATTTTTTTCAGTTCTTTCAGCTTAAGAAATACAAGCACATTCTTCCCTTTTTGTTTTCTAACCCTAGGTCTTTGCACAATTGTTTATAACACTTTATTTTGTCTTCATGAACCACCCTTTGAATTCTTCTGTTCAACTTTTTTACTTCATCATTTTCTGCATTGCTTTAGCTACACTAAGTTCAAAAGAAATTTTCATAGTCTCTTCTGACATCCATTTTGATATTTTCTTTGTTTCTTGGCTTTTCCATTACCTTTTGTCTCCCTCATATGATGTTCCTGAAATCATCTCACAACTTGTCTAGTCTTCCGTCATCAGCATTAAATGTGTCAGATTAATTCTTAAAACAGTCGCTAATTTCAGGTGGAATACACTCAAGGTCATACTTAGCTCTCTTGGACTTGTTTTAATTTTCTTCAGCTTCAACTTGAATTTGTATATGAGCAATTGATGTTCTGTTTTGCAGTTGGCCTTTGGCCCTATTCTCGCTGATAATACTGAGCTTCTCCATTGTTTCCGTCTACATATGTAGTTTATTTGATTCCTTTGTAGACCATCTAGTGAGGTCCATGTGCAAAGTCACTGTTTATATTGTTGGAGAAAGATATTTGCAGTGAATAAGTTATTGGTCTTGCAAAATTCTATCATGCTATCTCTGGCATTTTTTTCTATCAATAAAGTGTATTTTCCAACTTCTGATGCTTCTTCTGTTTCTAACTTTTGCATTCCAATCACAAGTCATTATCAATGCATCTCAATTGCATTTTTGGTCAATTCAGACTGCAGAAATGGTAAAAAAATTCAATTTTTTCATATTTGACATTAGTAGTTTGGTGCATAAATTTGAATAATAATCAGATTAACTGGTCTTCCTTCTTGTTGTTGTTGTTGTTAAGTGCTGTCGAGTCATTTCTGACTCATAGTGACCCCATGCACAGCAGAATGAAAAACTGCCCGATCCTGCGCCAGCCCCACAATCCCTGCTATACTTGAGCCAATCATCGCAGCCACCATGTCAATCCATCTCGTTGAAGGCCTCCACCTCTTTCGTTGACCCTCCACCCTACCAAGCATGACATCCTTCTCCAGGGAATGGCCCCTTCTTACAATATGACCAAAATAGGTGAGACGAAGTCT